CTTTCTCTCTGCCTAATCAACAAGCCCCCACAATGCCTCTCTAAAAATGGTCCCAACCCGGAAGTAAGAAAAATTGCAGTTCCACCCTCATCCGCTGGGGGCTGGTGTCAGAAGCGAGCAAATCCTTATTGACTCCCATGTTAAAAATGCTGATTTCACAGCAGAAATAAACATGTTTACAGCCTGGTACCAAAACATGTTTTTTGTCTAAATTATCTAGTTTACACTCATGACAACTCTGAGGGGGGTGAATTTTTTTCTCACTCTTCTGTTTAAGTGTATTGAAAGCCTAAAATTCTGTATAATTAATGAGCATCCGACACACGTGACCGCCGCCTCAGACCCACGTGACCACAGAGCTAGCTCCGTGGAAAGGCCTCAGTAGAGCCTCGGCCCCTCCTGGAAGCTGTTTCGGGATTTTGAGTCTCTGTGCTTGTGAATTCTGTTTTGGATATTATTGGTGCAATTGTTGGACAAAATGACTTGCAGTGGTATTAATTGCACTAATAGAGCGTCCAAGGAGTCTCCACTTCATTTTTTTCGGTAAGTTAAACTCTATATTCGTATTTTATGTCACTGCTGCCTTTAAACTAGCTGAGTTTACCGAAGTAGCTAGCTAACTATCAGTTTAACATGTAGCATGTACTGTTTAACCATGAAATTTAAATGTAAAATACGGTAAAATAATTAATAGGGCATATTTAGATGGGTAATAGGGTAAAACCCAGTGCATTTAAGATAAAAATGGGTTGAAATATGACGGAGCGCTAAGAGGGAGACTTCTGTGTCCATTCTTCCATCCGGTAATCCCCAGCGGTCAGGCCGGGCAGCCTGACCGATCCGGCGCCTACTTGCTGCGCCTAGCTGCTGCGCGGTCTGACCGCTCGTGGAGTTTTTCATGTCTGACTTTAACCGCATCTAATACTGTATTACGGCGTGAGCGCAACAGCGACAACTTAATATCGATGTGTAAGCAGCCTGAGTGGTAGGGTGTTTTCATCTGAACCCTTAAAATCTCCAGCAGGCTATGCTGCACTATTGACGTGTTAGCGCGCGGCGCTAACAACTTAGGAACGTGACATGTCTCTGAGAAAGCGTAAAACACGGACGCTTCTTCTGAAGCGGAAAATAACACTTCTTCTTAAGCAGAGCAGGATGTCGCCTCGGCTCGTTCACGGCCGAGCCGGACTGAGCTCGATAACATTGACCAAGCACAGCCACTGGGTCATTGTAGCTGCCACCAGGCCTGCTGAAGGAACACCAGCGGGTTTCATCAGACTCGTAAAGTTTCTTGTTTTTGCTGGAGATTTCTGTATTTTACCGCTCCCTCCTGCAGTCTTCCCCTATTAAAATTTAAAATGTGTAACTTTATGTATTGGGATGAATGACTAATATTCATGTAAAACTAAAACTTTAGGCATTTAGGGGGAAAAAACAAAATAATAAACATTATACAGATGTCAAATAAATCAAACTGTAATTAAACTATATATTTTCAAAGTCATATAGACAGCATGATGGTTTGTGTGATCCGCGCGGTTTCACTTACACCCCTTTAATGATCAGGCTGTTTTTTATTATTTTTATCAGCTGATAGCAGTTAAAATTATGGTAAAAAATACTTTTATCTGTTTTTGATAACTTAATGCCCAGGAAGAGCATCTTCTCTAGACATTAAATATAACCCATTATGAGCAGATCTGATGAAGGTGTAGTCAAGCAGTCTGCAAAGTAAAACTTGTTTAGAGTCCAAACTCTTACTAAAGCTTTTGAAAAGAAAAAATGGTTGAATTTTGAGAAATATCCACAACAGGGGAGCGAGACCTCTGAAAAATGTATATTTTCTCTGAATTCATAGAATAATGTGAAGATTCTGGGAAAAGTTAGGATTCTGAGATTAAAACGTAAATCTTTCTAATCATAATTCTGGCAGTTTTTGTGTCCTTCTGCTGTGGAAAGTCGTGCAACATGAAGATACTGAGAAGATGCTTAAAACCTGTATTTTTATTCCATCCATAAATAAAATCATGAGCTATTTTTTTAATCCAAATTTGATCCAAAGGGCCATCGTTGGCTCCAGACCCGTTCTAGACCATTCCTCTAATCTTAAAGTCATCATCAGTTTCTTCCTTTTAACAAATATTTATTTGTTCAAATATTTAATATTTATAACTGGAATATTTGTTCCTCCCTCTCCCACTGCAGTTAGTCCTGTCCTGCAACCCTGTTTTTGCAGCTTAGTGAAGCCAACCATCACTAACCTGGGGGTGGTTTTGGACCCAGAGATGCGGACGGACTCCCACATTAGCCAGGTGGTTAGATCCTGCTTTTCCCGGCTTCGCCAGCTACCAAAGATGAAGTCCATCCTGAAAGACGTGTCATATTTTCTCCCCAAGCCGGACCTGACCGTAGATATACTGCAACTCGGTGAGTTGGTAGATAGTGCTTGATGTTAGAAGTCTGTATGCCATCAGATAAACTCGCTTTTTTTTGGGGGGGGGGGGGGGGGGGGGGGGGTTGAGGCTTATATTGCAGTACGCATGAGTCAGTAATTTCCGGTAAGTATTTTAAAGCCATATACTTAATTAGTTCTTTGTATGAAGTTTTCCTCTAGATGATCCAGAGAGGCTTGACCTTTGGGTGAGCAACCAAAGAAGAGAGTGCTGGACTCCCAATTCATTCTCCCGCTTGTGCAGTGAACACTTTGAGAGTCATCACTTCACCACAGACTCCAGGGTACAAACACATTACTTCATATTTTAGTTGAGATTTAAAAAATTGAAGCATTAGCTGTATAACATACCGACGTTACATTGCTGTGTAACTAGAAGAAAATCTTCCCCACCCTTGAATTGTCTGTGACTGGGGCTGTTTAGATGGGAAACAATCATGTTATTAATTTCCATCTAATTCTATGGTTAATTACTCAGAGAAACAAATTAATTTTTGGACAGTCTTTAATGAGTAACTTTATGTATTGGGATGAATGACAAATATTCATGTTAAACTAAAACGTTAGGCATTTAGGGGGAAAAAAACAAAATAATAAACATTATACAGATGTCATAAATCAAACTGTAATTAAACTATATATTTTCAAAGTCTCGATTCTGGATAAAATCCAACAACATATGCTTTATAAATAACAAACACTACACATGCCTTTTACACACACACACACACACACACACACACACACACACACACACACACACACATGCAAGCACATTCACTCACACACAGTGCTCTGGTGTACCAGTGTGTTCTTCAGAAGCTGACCTTGTCTGATGTGTGTGTATGTGAATTTCTTTTTTTAAATTAAGTAATTATGTTTTTTTTTATTTTAGGGGAGAGTTTGCCTGAAGGACACAGCCGTACCTACAATCTTCTCGTCCTTTAAGGTAAAAAAACCTGTTCCAAGAAGGGAAGAACAGGTAAGTAGGAATGACAAGGTAAGTTTTGAACGTCATCAGCTTATCTGAAAGTAAGATTTAAAAGACCCTATCATCTTTGGTGATCTCACGCCTACACAACATCCTTTGTTCTAATGGTGAAATTAATTTAAGCAGATTTTTTACCTGCTGACCTCTATAACTTTATTCCTGTTCCTAATTACAAAGAAACACCTGTGCAGAGGAGGTGTTTTGAAGGTGACAGTTTCTGCTTATCAAGCAACAATTGACAGCTACAATAAAGCCTGATTCATGCTTCTCTGTCAGCTCCAACAGGGAGAGACACGCACGCACGGACGGGGACGTTTAGCTCTCATACTTCTCCGTCTCCTGGGGAGTGTTGCAAAGCAATTCCCGGACCGGACAGCAGAGGGCGGAGAGCTGTTCTGTGGTATCCTGTCATGTATCGGTCCAAAATAGTGTGATGATATTGTGTTTTTTGTACATAACAGACTTTTTAACAGACAAATTTGTCGCATTCTCCTACACCTCTTCACGGGCTCGCCACAGTAAATATTCTATTTGGCGAGAGATAAACTTTATTGTATTTATCCTAGTGAATCTATAATTAAACGGGTAAACTAGTAGCACCACATCCAACATCAAAGAAAGTAAAATGTTATCAGGAGAGGGAGAATGTTTAAGTGGTTAGCAGCAGTGTGCTAGCCGATGGCCCCCTCCATGAGGCCACCACAGCTCAGCAGAACACCATTGTAGCTTCTTCTGGGGAGAAAAACACTTAGAGAAAAAATAAACAGCTGAAATAGCAGGAAATAATACAGTTAAAGAGCAGATTGTAGAAGAAAGAAACCCCTGGGTTAAACTGGTCTGTCTACTGCATAATGCTGAACTCTAACGTGTCCTCAGGGAAGGACCTGATTGGTGTCCAGAACCTGCTGAAGAAGCACCAGGCTCTGCAGGCTGAGATCACAGGTCATGAACCTCGCATCAAGGCTGTCACCCAGAAAGGAGAGACCATGGTGGAGGAAGGTAGAGCAGGTCTGGTCCTGACATGTTTCTGAGGTGTCTGCAGGTTCTGGCTCACTTTTTTTGGGTCCAGGTCACTTCGCTGGTGAGGAAGTGAAGACTAAACTGTGGGAGCTTCATGGACGTTGGGACACGCTGAAGGCCAAGGCGTCCCAGAGGAGGCAGGACCTGGAGGACTCTCTGCAGGCCCAGCAGTACTTTGCGGATGCTAATGAGGCCGAGTCCTGGATGAGGGAGAAGGAGCCCATTGTTGGAAGTCCAGACTAAGGGAAAGACGAGGACTTGGCCGAGGTATGGAAGTCCCTTCCTGAGAAACTCCAATCGCTTTTCTTTGCTCTCTTTCCAGTCCTTCATAATTAGTGTTTCTGTATTTGTCATTTCCTTCGGTTGTCTACCAGACGTCGTTGCTCGTTTGAGCGTCTCATGGGTTAGGGGTAGAAGTGCTGGCCTCGCACAGGAAGTGATGACAAACGTGTTCCCGTCGCTCTTACTTCAAACGGTTTACAAGCTGTGATGTGTGTTCCCGCTGCAGAGCAGCCATGACACGTGGCAGCCGGCAGAAGGCTCACGCTTTTCCACTAAACACCCGCAGAGCTGCGTCTGCGGTGAACTGAGCAGGGTTTGTTTTACGGTGGCGGATCCGATTGGACAATCGCTGCGAGAAAGCTCCACTTGTGTCAGACGAGCTGAAGGTTCTGATGTTCTGCTCCACAGGCTCTCCTGAAGCCCTGATGTTGGACCTGTCGGCTTACGGCAGCAGCATCCAGGCCCTGAAGGAGCAGGCCCAGTCCTGCAGGGTGAGTTCAGAACCCTCGGCCTGTCAGAACATTCTTATCCACCACGTTCTAACACCAGACCTGTTAACCCGACAGCAACAAGGTAATCAGCAGGTGCTTTTGTCCTGCAGGACCTGAAGGCCAACGAGTCCCGCCTGAGGGACATCAACAAGGTGGCATCTGAACTGGAGTCAGAAGGTCTGATGGCTGAGGAGGCTCCTATGGTTCAGGCTCAGGTGAGCATCACCTGTCTGCAGCAGCTGGTCCCTCTCACTTCCTGGTTTAACTCTGCTCGTCTCTGTTTGTAGCAACAAGAACATCTGGGTTCTGCTCCTGGAAAGGTGCATGTTGTCCTCCGCCTCCACCAGAACCAGACGTGGTGTTTTTGTTACCACTCATTTGTTTGTTTGTTTGTTTACAGGATGAAGCCGACTCTAACACGGCGTCACCCTGGAAGGTGAGTTCATTCAGCTGATCAGAGGTCACCTCTGATGGCCGCAGTCACGGCCGACCGTGCTGACATCACACAGGAATTCAGGTGACCCGGCAGGCAACAGGTGCTGGTGAAAGTGGGGACATTTCAGCTGGTTGCCATGGCTACAGTTATCTTTATGCATCTGTATGACTGCTGACTGGTGTGTGTTTCCTGTGACCTTTGACCTCAGACTGTACGGTTGGGCGTTCAGATGACGGCTAACTTTAATTCCATCAAGGTAAGAGGAAGCTCTTCCCTTCCTGTCTGAGCGATCCGTCTCCAGGTTTCCTCGTCCGGCGTCCAGCCCGCTGGCGTCCACCTTCATCTCACCTTCATCTCATCTCACTTCATTTATAGTGCAATACTTTCACATTATCATTTTCCCACACTTCTGTATACCTGTATTTTGTTGTTTTTCAATAAAGAATGACAAATTATTTAAGTTTGGTTTTTGTTGCACACAAATATATATCTGTAAAAAATATCTACAAAGCTAATGTTTACATAACAAGTATGATTGGGTTTTGCAATATGGCACTCAAGTTTATTTTAGTAAGATTTTCAAACCAAGTAAAGTTAGTAAAGAACACATTTCTATTGTCTGCTAAGAAACTGTTGGGATTTAAAATGGGCCTGTTGTACAAATAACTTGTAAATGATTATTCCTCACTTTTGTCTTAACCAAAGAAATTCCAGTAATTGAGCAAAAACATTTATTTTTAACACTACATTTTATAAAACAGGGCGCAAAGTGTCGGCACATGTATGTATGTCGATGGTCCGCCCCAACCGAACCAGGAGACACAGACGTCAGGGAGGCCAAGGTTGTCTCCGACGGTCTCTGCAGCTCTCTGGGCACCACGCCTCACATAGCTGTCTCCAATGATCCAAATGGCTATGGAGGAAAAAATAACAGGTTTGGCCTAGCTGTTTAAAGTACAAAACCATTCATGAAGTGGTCAAGACAAGTACTTGGTACTTACACTTGCTGCTTTGTGTAGCTGACGTTGACACACAGGCTGCCATAGTGACCTTTTAACAGATCTAAGAAAAAAATGTAATAAAAGAATGAAACTTAAAAACTCCCAGACCTCATGTCACATTTACTAATCAGCTATGGCTGATTTGTTTGGATCACAGTGAGTTAAACTAATTCTAATATATTTTTATTTCTATTATACATACATACTTTTTAACTGTTATTTTCACATGACTGTTATCAGGCTCTCTTGTTCTGGTTCTGATGATAATTCCGTGTCTTCCAGTAAGTTATCTTGTGCTTACTTCATCTGTATAATGTCTCTTTACTTTTGGTAAATTGTACTGAGTCCAGAATAAAGGCTAGTTAGCTGTACAAGATACAAACAAGTATTACGTTTTGGAAATATATGAAACACCGCCAGCATCTGTTAGAGCCTGTGGCGGGGTGCTGAGGGCCGGCTCCAGCCCAGGAATGAGCTCTCCACGCCGGCCGGGAGGGTTTGAAACACCGCCATCCTCTCCTCTGCTGGCTGTTCATTCTGTTATGGTTACCGGTGCTTGTGTTGCAATGTGAAACGCTTGGTCTCAGATTTTGTAAGAAAGATAATAAAATGTCCCCCCAAAATACGACTTAAATATATTTTCTCTTCTTCATGATACATTTAATGGCTGGTGCGACTCAGGAGTGATAGCGCCGAAAAACACTGTACTGAAAACTTGCTCAAAGCAAAATGTTTTCATTACGGAAATAAATTATAAACTTACCGATTTAAAACTTTTTTAATACAGGTACTTCTTACGAACAGGCGCAGAAAACCTCCACCTAAACTCCGTGTGAGGTTCAGGTCGTTGGGTGTTCCAGTTAGCTCCGGTTGCATTGAAGCTAGGTGGCTACATCCGTTAGCTCGGCTCCCACCTCTGCTTTAGCTTTGGGTTAGCTTCAGGTTAGCTCGTAGCTAGTTCGTCACTCGATCCCAGCCTTACAGCCCCACCCTCAGCGCCTCCACTCTTCCCTTTTATGGAATTGTCTGGGCTTGACGGAACCTGTGACACGGTCAAAATGGCGGTGGTGGCCACCTCCCATTATGGACAAAAAACGTGTTATTGGAGCCTATGGAATCCGTTTGTCCAGTATGTACAGTCTATGCTAATCAAACAAAAATCTCCCTTCAGTGTAAGTAAGAGGCCAACTTCAGTAGTGGGAACATTTTGAACCGGTTGTCTTTTGTTATTTGGCAGCTCGTCAACACATTCCAATCCTTCATGATTTAAAATTGTCATATCGCCTGCACTTAACACGGTGCTTGCATATTTCATAATGCTTTAGCTATGAGAGCACTAAAGATAAATATTCACCATCATCTGTCACTGGCTGCTAAGCTCTGCCTCTTCCACTGATCACCTCATAAGAAGCATCTCACTGTGGTTTCTCCAACATTAATGAATACACACACCTACACTAAGACACACACCCTCTCCAAGATTTCTGTAATCATGACAGATTATTCACCTGCTGTGCTCCAGACCCTCTTGCAAAAATTCTCCAAGTGCTAAAGGAGGCAGCGTTGATACTATTACCCCGGGTTTCCACGGGAGCCGTCAGCAGCACGTTACTGCAGCAGCACGTCTTGCTCGCGTAAGCTGCTGCTTGGCCCTTCCCAGGAGACGCGAAGCAGCAGGGGAGCAGCTGTCACCGACCGAGCACGAAGTCACACGAGTGACTTCGTCAGTAAACACAACAACAAGCAGGAGAAAACTACAACATGGTTTGTGTTTTATGTTCTGTCCGTTTTATAATCGCCAATACGGACCTGAAAAACAAAGGAGACCGCTAGCTAGGTGATAACTTCTCACGGGGACGCTCAGTTAGTAACCTTTTTTAAAGTAAAGCAACCGGAAGGCAGCACGTTCTTTATTCTGAAAATCTCTGTAGCTTCTCTCCATTTCCGCGTCCGATTTCCTGTCTTTCCTTCTCCAAAAATGTCGAACTTGACCCGTTTCAGAGGCATCGCGCGTAGAAAATAGAACCGGCGCGTAAAGGCCACGACATGCTGCTCCTGAGACGCGGCCGACTCGCGCTGCTGACGGCTGCCGACGGCTCCAGTGGAAAAGGTTCTGTTGACCACAGCTATGACGTGCTGCTGCAGTAACGTGCTGCTGACGGCTCCCGTGGAAAGCCGGGGTTAGGCACATTATCGTGTGCAGCATTGTGTGAAGGACTGTCTGTGACTTGCTGCTGTCCACATCAATCATCCAGCTGCTTGTTTGAGATTTTACCTGCAAAGAAAAGAAGGAATATCACTCCTCATTACAGCTGCTTCATCAATCACAGAGTCTATGTCATGTGTTCCAAACTCCTGCATGTTCAGATCATTTGACGACATTTATAATAAAGAGCTAAGACTGACTTTTCTTCCTTCCACTTTTAAAATTGTAGTCAACTTTTCCCCAACATGTTTTTTTTTTGCATATTCCTTTTTTTTAAGTTTCTTCTCCATAGGTATTCTCTTTCTATCTTGCTGTTTTAATCATTTTCATTTCACTTTATTTATAAAGCCCCTTCCACAACCTTATTGGATGCCCAATGTGCTGAACAATACAAGAAGCAATAAGAAACACATGTAAAAACGGTATAAAAGCAACCATAAAAACAATAAACACAATAAAAAGACTATATTACATGCTGGACAATGAAGCCACACTACAACATCTGCTGTTGGCCATAACATAAAAATGCATCTTCAGACGGGACTTAGAAATCAGCAAAGAGGGTGACTGGCACACGGTTAAAAGCAATTCATTCCACAGCCTCGGAGCCAACACCGAGAATGCACGATTCGCCCGTGTGTTACACCGGGAAAGCGGAACCACCAACAATTCCCTATCAGCTGAATGGAGTGCTCTTGATGGAGCATGTCTGTTCAACAGTCTCTCCAAGTACAGATGAGCAGTCCCCTGAAGAGCTTTAAACACCAAGGTTAACACTTAGAATTTCACCCCAAAGTGCACAGGGAGCCAATGCAGATAGCTATATACCGGAGTAATGTGCTCCCTGCGTGTTGTGCCTGTCAGGAACCTAGCGGCAGAGTTTTGGACTAACTGTAACCGCGCCACTGCACCCAGACTTAGGTCGGCATATAGCGCATTACAATAGACCATTCTAGAGAGGACCAAGGCATGAATGACATCCAGAGGACCTCTTGATAGTAGAGGCTTAATTCTAATCATACATAAGATGCATTCAAGGTGCTAAACAATACAAAAGAAGGATGTTGGGAACTGCTAATATTTGGGGCAAGTGATCAGTCTCAAATGTGTGGTTGACCTCTGAAATGCATAAAATGTCATAGTGTAGTGAGAATGAGGCCCTTAAATGCAATCGTATGAAATGCTGGTGCCTAATATAGTACTCAAGCAGTTTTTTTTATTAATGTATTAGATAAAAGGATGAAAGGTCAGCAAAAACAAAGTAACAGAAAAAAGGCACAGTCCACAGATCGCTGGGGCATAATTCAACTGAGACAAGAAACAATGGGGTCAACAATATAGAACCTACAATGGTTTAACATGACAAATGAATGAAGAAAGTGCAGAGTATTAAAGTGGGGAGAAGTGAATAATAAGAGAGCACAACAAACAGGTGAACTGAGTAATCAGGGGAGCTGAGGGACATTAGGGCAATGAAGCAGGCATTGGAGAGAAACAGCAACAGACTAATCCTAAAACAAATCTGACAATGAAATAATAGCTTAGAAATACCTGTAATAGAAACAAAACAACAAACCAACAACCAAACACAGCATCCAAAATCTCAACACTGTCACACCACAATAACAGTAAATGCTCCTCTTAAATAGGAAGCAATCATGCAATTTTTCAATACTTTATTTTCCTTTTGTGATTCTTTCGACCAATTACAAGTGCAGGAGAAGAGAACATCACACTAAAATTAATTTCTTTTTTTTTATTTGTATAATTAGGGAAATACAAAATGTGCAACTTTTAAAAAAATCTTAAATGCATTCTGTGCAACTTTTTCATAATTTTAAATACCTTTCTAGAGCCAGCATGTGCTTTACAGAGTTAATGAAGAGTCACTTAGAACCCCACCGCCCTCTATATTGCATTTGCAACTTCAGAGTTGTCGGTCCGGTCCCTGTTGGACATAGTAAAGTGGAGCTGACATACATGGCGCTGCAGTCTGCTTCCAGGACATTTCCTGCATGTTTTAGATGATGAACACAGCTGATTTGTTTAATTCAGTGAAGAATCACTCCTGTAGACACAGTGGTATGCATCCCATGTTGATAATCATGGGCTTTCCGTACCCTTCAGACCACCATCATCAAATTTAGGCCTTGTCAGCCAGCCAGTAAACTTTGACAAGTGAGTACACTACACTTACTGCATGCCATCAAGCATCTCAAGTTGCTTCCACACCGACTTGGCTCACATACCAACAAACACACTCAACACTTCTCATTGTCTGTGAGATTGCTGCCAAATCAAACTCAGCAGGACAGCAGCAGCTCCACCTTCTGACCTTCAGCTGCCTCCATCTCACACAAACACAAACCTGCACTCAACAAAAGGTGGATAAATTAGTATGTGCAGTGAAAACACACACAACACTTACACAGTAAAAGCTCTCTCAATACCTTTAACAAAAATAAAGGATTTTAGTTGTGCAACCTCATATTTGCTCCTTCTGTGTAATGTAATGCATTTATTGGCTGATGTTCTGCACTGGCCCATGTGCTGATGACCCTGGAGTTTTGCTGAGCAATGGGAACGTGGGAAACGATTACTTACACAGGAAACAGAAAGGCGTCATTGGTCAATTCATCAGCATTGATCAAATGGGGTCTTTTTACAGAGGAACATTTTGTATCATCAATGCCAAAGGAGCTTTTTTTTTTCTTGGCACCAGATGTGACTGCAGCCTTGCACCAAAATGCATAAAGTTTGGAAACACAGTTTGGGAATGTTTAGAAAATTGGATTTGAATGGATAAGTTCATCTCGTCAGAGGTTTTTAGATTATTTTCCGACATGAAACCCTATATAACGCAAACTGTCTATTCAAATTCCTTTTCAAACATTTTATGACCTTGTCCACTTAGCACTGCATAACTTGGTTAGTCATTAGCTCAGTTTACTTGTTAAACTCAACCTTCTGGTGTTTACTGATAAATGTGTTGTAATTTTCAAAGGTCTCCACTGCAAATCCCCCCATTTCTTCACTTCAAAGCAAACTCAAATAAAACTGCGGTTAAAAAAAAGTTAAACTTCCTATTATGAATCTCCACGGATTAATTTTGCATTCATGAATCCACTGCAATGTTTTGCTTTCTATTTCCATGTTCACGCCAGTTGATGCTGGAATCGGTTTGAGACCGTGAGGATGCGAGGAGCGGGACGGGGAAGCAGCAGGGCACATGATGCATGCTGCTAAGCATAGAGCCTCTACTGGAACCAACTCAATGAAAACAAGTGCAGATACAGTGGACCATTATTCCGTTATGTGTGATCATATTAGCCCTGCTCTTGCTGCTGTTTTGCTTTTGCTGGTTTCTTTTTATGGTTTCTAAAAGAATAAAAATGGACTCAGGATGGCATTTCTATAGC